CGTTATCAATTTCGGGTATTATTTTTCCGCTTTTATTTCGCATTCTCACTAATATGTGGTTCTCTGTTTTTTAATCGAAAGTGACAGAATACTTTCAGTGCTAAGGTCAGATCATGAGGTAGCAGATTTTCCCTGGCAAGTATAATTGTTTCCTATAATTTGACAAATGAGGAATTCTACAATCTATGGTGTCATTTGTGACTTTAGCTGTCTTCGCTTGTCTTTTTACTCGGTTTAACGAAGTTGTGTTTACCGTATTTCCCCCATCCCAGTAAAGTGCTATTGTCCTTGCCAAACTCTTGGTTCCTCAAATATTTGAGAAAATGGCACTGCCAGATCTAAGAGCACTTGTAGCAGAAAGGTCATCAATGAAGATATACATTACAGGGGAAACAATAGAAGTGTCTCACCAATCTGTAGGCTTCTTGCTGGAAGGGTTCATTAAAACTTTACGTGTTCAAGAAGAGCTCGTCGCATCTCCGGCAGTTCTTTTGCCTTCTCAAGGGAATCAAACTTTCGTAAATGCAAATAAGTCAGGTGACATCATCGTCGTTCTATGCAAATAAGCCGGAGTTTGTCAAGGATGAATCGATCACAGCCGGCATACAACCGGTCATACGATAGAGTTCTTTCATTCCCTGGCCATCCACTGGCTTCTGTCAGATCAGAAGGATCTGTTAAACTGAGGAAGGATCTGTTAAACTGAGGAAGAATCTCGAAGAAGGGAGAAAGATTACAAGATGGGTACCCCCAGCATAAGCAAAGAACACAGACTCGAAAGAGGGTCACATAAACGATGATTCGAGTGATGATGAATCTGTTTGTGAGGGTGAAATCCTGGTAAAAATCGATTCGCCTAGCGGAATATCGTTCAATCAAACTTCTTGAAGGTTTGCCTATGTTCAGCTCATGGTTGTGAGTTCCTTCTTAACTGTTGTATCATTATAGAATTGTTGGCATGTGTCTTTTTGTTTGGTTATGAACAAAAAGCTTGGTTTGTTTTGAATCTCATTTTTGTCCTTCCATTCAACTTTATTGTTGAATAAGTCTGGTTTAGAAACCAGGGCGCTGGTTTTCTGAGTCAGTCATGAAACAATGAATTCTCGCCAGTTATGGAACTTGTGAAACTTTATACTTTATAGGTGAATAAATGAAATATATATATATATATATATGCTTCATTTACACCTGGTTTTAGTTTTCTGTGTCTTTTTATGATCGTTGGATGAGAAAAAAAATCGAAGGATGAGTTTATTCATCTTCTTTTTCTAGTGGATATCTTTTTATTTTATACTGTTAATCTCAACCTTTGACTTTACCTCATCTAATGATTATAAAAATGTGTAAAATTGAAAAGTTTCACACTATGTTATATGGGGTAGAATTCAATTAAATAGTGTAATTTATACCTTTTTATGATCATTGGATGAGAGAAAATAAAAAAACTGAAATTAATAGTAGAGAATAATAAGATTTTTACTTGAAAAAATGATGATTTAATCTCAACCTTTAATTTTCCTCGTCTAGCGGTTGTTATACCGTAAGGGAATCGAGAATTGTCTATGTTTGATTAATGAGGAAGAGAACAATTTAAATTTTCAAATAAAAATTAATTCTTTTTAATCCATTACTAATCAACATAACTATTTAATATTTATGATCCCATATGAACATAAATCTAATGATTATAAATTCTTGAAAAAAATTATTATTTCACCCCTAATATTTTGAAACTTTTACAATGTAATTCAATTCTTGATTTCGACACTTCTTCACTCAAGGCATTATATACGATTAATTAAATTAATGATGAACTTGATGTTTGATGTTAAAATAAGACGTTGAATCATATCGAATTTGACATCATAAAATTTGAGGCGTTACAACCCTTTGCAACAAAATTAATTGAGTGATTCTATTATGACTTTCTAAAATACGATGGCCCATCTGTAAAATTATTGATAAAAGAGTGACATGGGATGTAATTTACCCAACAAAAAACCAATTGGAAATGTTTTCTAACGACACCTTTTTAACGTCCTTTTTTAGATTCAACAGCAAAGTAGCATGATTGTTACAATTAATTAATCAAACGATTCAATCATGATTTTTTGAAATACGATGAGCTATATTAAACTTACTAATAATTGAGTGACTTACGGAGTCATTTACCCTTGGGTGTTAATATTTAGGGTAAACTACACGGGAGACCACCAAACTATGATCATTAATCGATCTTGCCACTTAACTATTTTTTATCTCGATTCGATCACCAAACTTTTTAATTGATTCAATGAGACCACTCTCTGTTAAAAAAACGGAGAATTCGACATGTCCATTAATAAATTGGTATAATTATATATGCGATCCTTAATATTGGAATAATTATACTTTTGGTCCTTAATATTTACATATTCTATCAATTTAGTCACTATTTAAATTCAATTAAATAAATTTAATTATCCAATTAGAACATGACACATATCAATACATGATTTGAAGGTTTTATTTATGAATTTTAAATTATTAAATTTAATGATTTTTTATCCAATCAGGTGGTAACAAGTGTCACCACCCCTATTGAAATGAAAAATTGAAGAACAAAAGTTACAGAAAGGGAGGATCGAACCTGTGCTTTGGGGGAATATTAACTAACGCCCAAATCATTGGGCCAAAGCTCCCCAATACTTTTAACTTGCAACAATATGTATTTGACTTCTAAAGATTTTTTAATGATAAAAACAATTAAAAAAATTATTTATTTAAATAAATTTCGGTTCGATTAATGGTTAAAGAAAAAAATTCGGTTAATAATTTTCAAATAAATTTCGGATCGATTAACGATTAAGGAAAAATAATTTATTTTATTCAGGTAATAATTTTAAAATAAATTTCGATTTGATTAACGGTCAAATAATTTCGGTTCGATTAATGGTTAAAGAAAAAAATCGGTTGATTTGGTTCGGTTAATAATTTTCAAATAAATTTTGGTTCGATTAACGGTTAAAGAAAAATAATTTATTTTAATCTGTTAATTCGATTAATAATTTTCAAATAAATTTGGGTTCGATTAACGGTCAAATAATTTCGGTTCGATTAATGGTTAAAGAAAAAAAATCGGTTGATTTGGTTCGGTTAATAATTTTTAAATAAATTTCGGTTCGATTAACGGCTAAAGAAAAATAATTTATTTTATTCGGTTAATTCGATTAATAATTTTCAAATAAATTTGGGTTCAATTAACGGTCAAATAATTTTGGTTCGATTAATGGTTAAAGAAACAAATTCGGTTAATAATTTTCAAATAAATTTTGGTTCGATTAACGGTCAAATAATTTCGGTTCAATTAATGTTAAAGGAAAAAATTCGGTTAATTTGGTTCGGTTAATAATTTTTAAATAAATTTTTGTTCGATTAACAGTAAAATAATTTCGGTTTCATTAATGTTAAAGAAAAAAATCGGCTGATTTGGTTCGGTTAATAATTTTTAAATAAATTTTAGTTCGATTAACGGTTAAAGAAAAATTAATTTATTTAAACAAATAATTTGTTTAATTGATTTTATCATTAACGTACTTTTAGAAGTCAAATACAAATTGTTGTAAGTTAGAACCATTTGGGAGCTTTGGCCCAACGGTTTGGGCGTTAATTAATCTTCCCTCAAAGGCACAGATAGGGTTGTTCATTTGGTTAATTCGGTGGTCGACCGAACTGAATTACCATTAACTAAACTTTTTTTTTCTTTAACCGTTAATCGAACCGAACTTTTTTTCGAAAATATTAACCGAACCGAATAAATTTCGGTTAATTTTCGAATTAACCAAAAATTTTTAAAATTTTCTAATTTATATAAAAATTTAATATTTTTTAATTCAAAAAATAGTTTATAATTAATTTAAATAATATATAATTATAAAATAAAAATTTTATATAATTTTTTAATTAATTAATATTGATTTAGGTTTAAAAGTTATTGGATCTTAAATTATTAATTGGGTTTTAAATAGTTTGGGCTGAGCCCATATGTTATATATAATATATATAATATTTTTAATTAAAAAAACAGTTTAAAATTAATTTAAATAATATATAATTATAAAATAAAAAAATTATATAAAATTTTAATTAATTAATATTGATTTAGGTTTAAAAGTTATTGGATCTTACATTATTAATTGGGTTTTAAATGGTTTGGGCTAAGCCCATATGTTATATATAATATATTTAAAATTTAATTCGGTTAATTAACCGATTTCGAACCGAATTAACCGTTAACCGAATTCTAAAAGTTTTCTTAACCGTTAACCGACCGAACTAATTCGGTTCGGTCGGTTAACCGAATTAGTTCAAAAATTTGAACACCCCTAGGCACAGGTTCGATCCTCCCTGACCTCAACCTTTGTTCTTCAATTTTTCATTTCAATCGGGGTGGTGACACGTGTCACCAACTGATTGGATAAAAAATCATTAAATTAAATAATTTAAAATTCATAAATAAAACCTTCTAATCATGTATTGACACGTGTCATGTTCTAATTGGATAGTTAAATTTATTTAATTGAATTAAAATAGTGACTAAATTGATAGAATATGTAAATATTAAGGATCAAATATATAATTATGCAACTTTTATTAACGGACACGTCACCAAGTCTTTTTTTTTAACGAAGAGTGGTCTGATTGAATTAATTAAAAAGTTTGGTGGCCGAATTGAGACAACAAATAGTTCGTTGGCAAGATCGATTAATGACTATAGTTTGGTGGTCTCCCGTGTAGTTTATCCTAAAATTTAATATATTTATTGGAAGATAACGTAAATGTGTGGTGTTTTGAAAAGACCGGTTCAAATGGTATTAGTAATACCAGAAGTTCACTGCATTTCCTTGATTGGTGATAACCGGAAGAAAGAAAGTTTCAATGCAAGTAATCCACGAAAATTTCTCAAGTCAAATACGTTGTATTGAAGTCAAATTCAGAGTTACAGAAAATTTTAAAAAAATACTAAAAGTTAAAGGAAATAAAAAGATTTTGAGATGAAAATTTTGTGTAATAGTGTTTGAACAAAGTTCTAACAAATCTGGGTTTTGTTAGTTTTCCTCTGGGTTACATATTTCTTCCAGTAGGCAGTGATTTCCCTCTGTGTCTCAATGGCAGTCTTCTTCATACTGCCATTTTTGCATTGTTCCTGCTTGGCATTGAGCTTGGCGGGGAGGTCGTCGAGCTCATGGACCACTTTTTGGATGTCAAGCACAAGCCGCTCGGCCAACGTGCGAGAGAAGTCTTCCCTGATGACGACACGGAGCACGGTGACATGCTGAGCATCCGCCGGCATGGTGTATGCCGGCACGATCCAACCATATCGACGCAACATCTCCGATATCTTGAACTCGTCGTGCCGTTTGTTGTCCTTTAGAGAAAAGGCCACCAAGGGCACCCCGTCGTCCTTTGACACGATGTCGAAACGTCCTGTTTTCTCCAATCCTTGTTTAAGGACCATGACATTTTCATGGCAATTCTCCATCACATTCTTGTATCCCTGCAGGTAAAAAATCAACAACAGTGCACCAGATCAGCCAATATGTAGTTAGTTTGTACGGACCTATACATGATTTTATGTTTACGGTTTCTCACCTCGTGACCCAATCGAATCAGTTGGTAGTACTGAGCAATGACTTGGCTGGAACCTTTGGAGAAATTGAGAGTGAAAGTGGGTTGATCAGCACCAAGGTAGTTAATGTGGAAAATAAGTTCTTCAGGCAAGTCCTCCTTGCTTCTCCAGATAACCCAACCGATCCCAGCATAAACAAGCCCATATTTATGGCCACTAACATTAATACTCTTCACAAGTGGTAGCCTAAAGTCCCATTCAAGCTCAGGGTACAAGAATGGTGCAATGAACCCACCACTAGCTGCATCTACATGAATTGGCGTATCCCATCTGCACAACAGACACTTGAAATTTCAATTCATTGAAAAATTTTCATGTCAAACTGCAAAAAATGGATATATATATATGTACCTGGTTTCCTTGTTTTTCTCCACCAAGAGATCATTTAGAAGCTTGACGTCTTCGAATTCTCCGTTAAGGGTCGAGCCTAAGATCGCCGCTACGCAGATGGTATTTTCGTCGACCATTTCGACAGCCTTGATGGGATCCATCACATAGTAGCCTTCCCTCAGCTTGACTTCCTTGAGCTCTACCTCAAAGTACCTGGCGAATTTCTCCCAGCACACTTGAACATTGGCTCCGGTCACGATGTTGGGCTTATCGTAAGGTTTGCCTTGTGCCTTACGCTTGTTCTGCCACTTTCTCTTGAAAGCTAGACCAGCCAACATGATCGCCTCCGACGACCCGACTGTTCCCACTCCGACGGCGGCCTCAGAGTCCCCTAGTGGCGCGTTGAACAAATGTGCTATCATGTTCACACAACGATTCTGCATCAAAAGTACATATTGTGAGAAAAACTGAAAGAAAATTTACTAAAACCAAAAACAAATACACACATATATATATATATATATATATGTATATGTATATGTATATATATATGTATATGTACCTGAAGCTCGGTGGTGACAGGGTACTCATCCATGTCAACGTAGTTCTTGTTAATGGCGTCCATGATAAGCTTATTGCATTCAGGTTCCATCCAGGTAGTAACAAAAGAGGCAAGGTTTAGCCTTGGGTTTCCATCGAGCATGAGCTCGTCATTGATGATCTGAAACGCCGCCTCTTTAGGTATGGAGTCCTCAGGCATCTTGAACCTGCAATATTTTGCTTTCCACCATGAAAATTGTTTAACCTTTCAAGCTTCAAATCCATGGGAATGGGGATTTACCTGGAAAGTGAGTTTCGGACATGGCGAGAGGCAAAAGTGGAGTGAACCGAGACATCGGTCTGAGAAGCTGTCTTAGATAACACCATGGTTTTTGATGTCTTGAGAAATTAAAACAACTGCAAAAATGAAGCCAAAGTTGTTTGCTTGCTTTGGTGGGGGGAGACATTGAGAAACAAATGGTATTTATAGGTATATCTGAAGCATCCTGTACTATTCAATTATTCATTGTAAAGTAACTTATTGTAATAAAATACCACATATTTATGTATTTATATTATTATAAAATTCTTAACTGAATTGCTGTCACGGATCCAAATAAGATATTATTAAAATATTTTTATTTAAATAATAATTACTATTTTTGTAAAGTCAATAAAATTTATATATAAACTTCTTATTACTTTATCTATAATTATTATTAAATAAATTTAAATATATATATATACATAAAATATTATTTTCCAGCTCAGTTGGTAGAGCACAAGATTCTTAACCTTGAAGTCGTGGGATCGAGTCTCACGGAGAGCATTTCATAATTCAGAAGTCTTCTACGGAAGTTGCTCTCAACCTGGTGTTGGGAGCAAGGACAACCAACCATGAGAAAAAAAAAAGCATGAAAAGAATAAAAGTTAAAAAACACATGGTGGTATCGTACGGCAAAGGAGCGAACCGGGTGCGGTGCCACCCACTGAAACTCGAAAGAGCCTGCCCCATTCACACCTCCCCCTAAATTCACGATTGGGAAAATAAAAGCTATTTAAATAAAGCTAGGACTGAATCTGAAAGGAAACAAATTACGTAAGGACTTAAAATCTATTTTAACAAAAAAATGGGAAAATAAAAGCTTGGTTTCATTAATATTCAAATTTGTAGGACCTAGAATTAAATAAAACCAAAATATGTGGGGATTTGAAACCCCCCCCCCCCTCCCATGTTATAAATGACTTAGTCACTTGTAGCATTTTTGGAGGACCAAGAACAAGTAAAAGAAGTAGACCCACAAAAGCCATTGAACAAGGACTTCTCCCCGATCAAGATTTGCCTACCTACTTTTGATTAACATATATGTTTCTTCTTTCTTTAGTCAACAATCAACGTCTAAGTTCTAACCAAAACTTGTTTTGAAAAATATGAACATTAACATTTACGTTTTAATATTCTATAAAATATTATTTATTAAATAAAACTATTTTATCTAAGTTTAATTATAGTAATATATTTTATTTTTTTAATATTTAATGGTTCATACTTTGGGTTATACAATCTGAGCCAAATACAGAACGAGATTTTATAAAAACGAGTTTGTGTTGTGATTTACCCAAATCTTGTATACACTGAATGTAGGTAGATGTGTGATAGAAAAAGAATTTTTAGCATACCCAAATCTTAATATTATATCAATTTAATATGACGATAAAAAAGTGTATACTATAAGTATTTCACCAAAAGCATAGAGCAATATTGGATCCTCTTCCATCCATTGACAAAACAGCACATTGATGTATGAAGGTCCCAAGTCTTGGATTAAAAAAATGGGCACAGATGTAACCAAAAAAAAAGGAAAATTGAACATAGACAGTTGAAGATAGAGTCATTTTAAAATATAACAAAACTGATATATACAAAGAATGTAAAATTTATAAATAATCAGTTGGTCAAATAGAATAAAGTATCAAATTTCTTAAGTAAAGATAAATGTTTAAATTCTAACATTGTAAATGAAGAAAATCGGATCGGACGGGTCACCCCCATAATGCATCTCTACAGTACCTAATTTGAACTAATCAACCAGTATATTAAAAATCAATGATTATATTAAAATTTAAAGAATAAAGGTATGACATAGCCCTAGACTAGGGGAGTCACTCATTACCTAAACTTTAGTGTACCAATAAAAATAATAATAAAAGGTAAGATTAAGTTACATTATGTATCTTTTTAGTTAAGTATTTGTTTAGGATCATTGAATTAATATAAATTAATGATTGAATTTAAAAATCGAAATACTTTTTTTTATAAAAATAAAGAAGTAAATAATCTTAATCATCAATTTATTCTCATCTAATTATCTTAGATAAATACAAAATCTTTTAATTTAGATTTTATCCATATATATTCAAAAAACATAAGAATCAAAAATATATTTTGTTTAAAAAGAAAATCAAACTATATCAAATGATCACAAATCCTAGAAACGAATAACCACAGGTAATAAAATAAGGCAACTTGAATGAAAAGATAAATAAACAATCAAAGCGGTATAACCTTTTGGATTTTGACGACGCCGACCACCTTGTATAATTTGTATTACATATTTAATAAATAATAGCAATGAATCATTTTTCGGATTCTTTTTCTTTTCACTTTTTTAGTGTCATTGAAAATATTCAATTGATTTGAGTGCAAGTTAATTAAATCTATGAGTATATTTTTTATTCAAATTTTATTTTAATTTTTTTTACTCAAGTTGAATATATTTGTTTGAGTTTTTGTTTAAATTTAAATGTAATTATTTATAATATTATGGTCAGGGAATGACCTAGAGAGAGTGGGTGGGGCGGTCGCCCCCTAAAAATATAAAATTATCATATATTTTAGATTTTTCCATTTGAAATTTTTTTTTCGTCCCCCTAAAATTTTATAAGTTCAAGTTCGTCCCCAACTTAAAATCTTACGTCCGTCCCTGATTATGATATTGTTTAATTTCAGTTTGAATGACTCTATTTAACCATATACTAAGAGTGTATACGGTTTGATTTAATTCGAATTTTTAACTTTTTTAATAGTCTATCAATTTTCGATTCGATTAATCTTGGTTTCAATTTTTATATTAATTTTAAGTCCTGATACTTTCTATTTTATTTTGACAAAAACTTTATTTTATGGCTTTTAAACATTATTTGGTAAAAATTTATGTCTTAACTTTTAAAATTAATGTAAGAGAATTATTTGGAGGGATAAAAAAAAATTTGCTCGACAAAATTATTTATTTATGAAATTAAACCCGAATTGAGTGCCTCGTTACAAATTTCTCTAAACTTAGATAGAGGAAAATAATACACCGCTACTAAGATCAATACAAATGAAAAAAAAAACATGTGATATATCAAAACTGCCATGGCAAATGAAAGTAACTCAAACAATAACAGTTTCATATGTAGAACTGGTTTTGTAAGGATATTCAAAGAGTGTTTTTAGAATACATCGAATTTTGATATATATTGGATTAGAAGATAAATAAAATAAAACTACATCAAATCTCGTCTCTTGTATACATATACTAAACAGTACTTCATCCGAAGGCCACTTTTCCCTCTCTCATAATTTTTATTAAAATATATATCGCTAAATACCTTACACCATATGTAATTTTTTTTTATAGTCGGAGGTGATTACAAGGTAGCATATGTTGATAATTTATCTTAAATATTTACAACGCATACACACTTTGCAAATACAGCTACTCTAACCCTAAACCTATAGGAAGAATAACACCCATTTAATGAGTTCCTAACACATATAATTGTTTATTTGATCAAATCAATTCACAATATATTTTCTAGTGATAATAAATACAAACTAATCACATTTAGGGACAAGCGCAAGAATTTATATTATGGGTGAATTTCTAAAATTTTAAAAATGGACTAACTTATAAAATTTCAAAGAAAATAAAAACAAATTTTCAATTAACAGTATTAATAAAAAAATTATAATATATTACAATTTTAAAATTTTCAAAAGCAAATGTCTCACCCACCCTTATATATATATAGATGATGGTCTTCATTCCACTATTAATTAAGCAGTTAGAATCGGCCAAAAATTGAATTCAAGTCTACCATCTCAAAGAAATGGTCAACTACACACATGTAGACATGAACAAATGATAAATTATTTCTAATTTCGACATTCATTCTCAAATATGCTTCTTTCTCAAATTCCATTGCTCAAAATCTGTTCTATCTTTATTTTCTACGTTCAAATAAAGTATCTGACCTTGAAGTTTACAGAATATTCCATTTAATTGTTTGAATATATTTATTACCATGGAGCAAGGGTTTTATATCCGACCGACAAACCAAATAGATCAGTATTTAATCCCACCGGATTTTATAATAAAAAATTGCATGTTGGGGAAGGGAATTAATAAAAAAAATGAAAAGAAGCAAAATTCAATGTCTATGTTGTGAAGCTCTGGACTATGAACAATTCCAACGGTTGAATCCAAAAGAAAACGTTCTACTTTGCAGTTCAGTTTGGTTGGACATCTCAAATTAGCATTTACCCAAATTTGGGATGAAATTTTCAACCAATGTTGATCATTTTGATTCTACTTTGCAGTTCAGTTTGGGAGGAGGGATGGAATTGTTCCACTGAATTTTTTTAAATTAATATATATTATGTTTTTGCTTCTTTTAAAATTTTATTAAGTACGTCTCTTTTTAAAATTTTAAAATTTCGTTTCTTATAGTATAAAAAATTGTGTCCGCCCCCCTACTTAAGAGCGAAAAAAGAGAAAAAAGAGAAAAATGATGGAAGTGGAGGGTTAATAGAAGAAGGTGATGGCAACCCAAGAAGAGATGATGGAGAACGAGGTCCCCATCCCATGCAGAGATCAATGTGGAAAAAAATTCGTAATATATATATATATATATATATATATATAGTTACAGTAATATATTTAATTTTTATTAGATAAAATAAGAATCTGATTTAAAAAATAGTATACAAAGATGTATTGTTACAGTTATATCCAAATGTTCAAGGAATAATTATATATTACATCAAATTTTTATCAATAACCCAAATCTTACTCGAACAGATTTCATCCAAATAAAAATCTGACACAACCTGACTCAAATCCCATTTTTAAAAATAAAAAAAATTAATTAAAATCAAATCAAATCATAATACACCGTATTTGGGCCAAATTCCCATTCTTTAAATATTAAAGTAAGGCTTAATACTAAAATAAGTGTCCAAACTATACTTCTATATCCAAATAGATGCTTAAACTATTTTTTGACTCATCCAAGTGTCTAACGTTACAAACGTTACCCATTTAGGTGCCCAGGTCGTAAAAAGTGTTAATTTTCCCGTTAAGTGACATGTGTCACAACATGATAATTTTTT